TCAGATAGAAATACAGCAAAGAGTGGGGAACCTGGAGTTCTAGTCTGGACAAATGTGTTGGTCTAAATACATTGATGATTCACTGTTCTTTTGCCCATTGTTGTCTGTATGGGCTGGAGACAATGTGGCCTGGTGAGGTAGTTATGACAAACTTTTACAGGCTTCTCTGTCCACAGGTGCTAGTCACAAAAGCAGGGATGTCCCTGATTGTGGGTGATGCTGAAATGCAATCGACATGGTATCAATTGGGATCATGGGAGGTTCTGACAGCTGCATCAATTTAACAAAAATCCTGGTCTACTACCCTGAGTATTCACTTTTGATACAGCTGAATGGTTCAGCACATCCGAGAAAAAACAAACAACAACAAAAAAAACAAAAAAAAAAACGACGAAACAGTAGTACATCATGTATATGTAGTTAGTGTGACAGAATTATCTCCAACAACCAATCAGAAATTATTTCACTCATCGACTCCGTATCGCCCGGCGCCCCTGTCCATTTTGACTCTCACCTGCCTGTGTTTACCTCGTGTGGCCCGCGGCCAAGGAAACGGTGGGGCCGGTCAAGCCGTCAGCTGAATACGAATGAGGGTCGCCGTGGTGGGGCTCGTGTCTGAACGACACGATGTACCACACAATAATAATGACCGCGTGCCGTTACAGGAAATATTACCGAGACACAAAAACTGTCGTATCAGAGATATCTGCAAACCCACCCCGTACCGATGGCATATGTAGGACCTCTGGCGACTGTTGGGTAACAGCGGCTTTGGTGGGGGAGTGGGGCGACGTTGCGGTCGGCCAATATGCTGTTGGCTCGGCTTTGTATAATTTTTGATTGATACAGTTTTAGAGAAATATATAAGGAAAACAACAACGAATTAGGGAATCGGGGCAAATAAAGCATATATAAAGGGGAGGGGCATGGACGCCGGCCGGTTCGATAAAATATAAATCAAATGAACATTTCACAAAACTACTATTGCTACAACGACTTACCTGGAAGTCTGACCTGAAGGAAGGAATAGCTTTGTAGCGCGTTTTAATACAGAATACTTAATTCCTGACAATGAAGTTTATATAACATAGATCCCGCCTTTCGGTTGTTTGTCAGAGTTGTTTGTTCACCCCGCGGTTTGCCAGCTGATCGGAACCGCACAGTTTGCGGCATCTTAGTTTTACGACAGAGAAGTGTCCTAAATCTTTATATGGGGCTACAGGACGGAAAATACAGAAAGTTGACCAGTAGATAGTATTCTTTATAGGTATTCCAAATATTACTCTTCTAGCCGTATCAGTCTTTATGCTTCGAACGCTGGAGTATATCGCCGGCGGCATCGAAACGTAACTTATGCAAGGTGTTGTGCAACAGCGCAACCACCATTTTACGGTAAACCGTCTTACGCAGTCTTATACGCTAGTAAGAAAAAGGTAATCGATGTTTGCACACAAATTGAAAAGAAAACTATTCAAATCAGAATTACTTTAATTTGTCAATCTTGAATTATGTCTCTTATCCAAACTAATTGAAGATAAGTTTGTTTTATTGATGATAAGTTTGTTTCATTGATGTTGGTGCGGATTGATATGGCCATAAATGTTTTGGTGAATTGGCCTTTAATGACCCCGGGGTCTGGAACATCGGCACTGCCAGGCACCTGTCAGATATTTACCCACATTTCTTTACGAAATGTACAGATAACAAACCACTCTAGGATACAACAAGATTTGACTTTTAATACGGCAAGACGTCTTGCGAATAGACCCAAGACGTTTGGTTCGCCTTCTTCGAGTCCGGCTTGTAGTGTGGTGCGCGTGTTTCTTCTGTCTCATGCTTGGTGACTTGCACAAATTTGTATAACCAGGTGTGCACTGAGGTAAGACAGGTAGGAGTTACAACATCACCGAACATACCTTGAGTACATCAGATACTGTATATCTCACCTGAAGATAGCAGCCTGAAGATACATTTGCAAATAGGGATTATCATATTGGGTAGTGGCATGGCATTTCCAAATACGCTTCCGGAATATTGTCGAACCCCCAGGGGTTGCATGTTCATAGTACCTACAAAATGTATACCTGCCCTCTTAATTATACTGTGTGCGATTATAAAATACAGAATGCCATGTGTTTCATCAACTTTTATGATTGTCTAAAAATTCTCGAAAAGTCACACAGCGTGTCATAATGTATGCAGTATGTTCTTTTGAAATGTTCTGCCCATATATGGCCATATATTGCATTCCAGGAAATAAGGAAAAATTGATGAGGGGCCTGAAGGGCGGGACCTTTAACGATATATGTTACCAACATATAGCCAGGAGAAGTTGACCAATCAGAAGGCTTTATTCCCATTGGTTATCAGGCCATTAACCTCAAAAGTGGTCGGTTATTACTTAGAAGAGGGCCCGCAAAGGGGGCTCCCCGAAACTCTCTACACTGAATACGTAAACTTCTCGATTACGCTTTAGCGGCTTTACGATAAATTGCAAGTGGCTACAATACATAACGTAGAATTAAAATGGGCAAGTACGCTCTACGCAAAATGTGCCAATTACACTCTACGTTGAATTAGAGCGGTCTGTCTACGCTTTACGTAGAATTAAAATGGCCGATTACGCACTATGGAAAAGGACATGCGGGCCGCCTTAGAAGCCTGTAGCTATTGACAGGACTGTCCGTTAATATAAACAGTGAGAAGTATTACACTGCTGACAGGACCATCCTGTCAAAAACAGAAATTATTGTACTATTGACAGGGCTGATAAAATTTTGGGTTTTTTTTTTTTTTCTCTTTTGGTCAATTTTTGCTTTCTTTTTTTTTTTTACTGGTCAATTTTTGGTTCGTGCCCCGGTGCTTATGTACACTGCAGGTTGCTTCAAGGACATTCTATTACTAAATGAGTATTACCTTGGTTGCTATTCAGCCAATTTTTACGATTCTGCGGCCCCAGCTTGAGATTGCCGTACATACACTGATCCCCCGCAGCGCGACCTGTCCTCCCGTAAGCCATGCGGCGGCAGCGCGTGCCTGTCCTCCCATAAGCCAGAGTATGGCCGGTGCCGCGGGAATGATAGTCAGCAGTCCACCGGGAATTAGACAGCAGGTCGGGGTGGGAGGAGGAGGGAGGGCGGACCAGGACTGCAAGATTCTGCACGAACAACTATGAAAGCCGTTGCTAGTGTAACGGAAATGAAAAGAAACTTACAACGGGGGTCGCTAGAAGACAGACGGGCGGTTATACCAGCTATACAGATACAGATACAGGACGTGAAAAACCTTACCCCTGCAAGCTAGCCACAGCAGCCCCCATAACACTATAGCCATGCTGGACAAATTCCAGCAGATTAACTTTGTGCAGTTAAAGGTATAGGTAACGGGGGTGTACACAGGGAAATAGTGTGTTGCTTCTTCCACAAGGTGACTCCCTGACCCCGAGGCAACTCCGAGGCGATAGCTGAAGGAGTCAAGTGGTCACCTGTCAGCCCTGCAATCAGCCGAGTGGGCGTGCAACACAACAGTATTTCCCAGCAAACAAGGCCGCCACAAGCAGCAAGGATATTATGGCTAAATTCTTTAGGGAACGTGTTTTCTGTGCTGAAAAATCTGCATATGAAAAACATGCTGAGGCATGACCTGCGAGTGCTTAAGTCTGTGATACAGATGTTGCCCCAACTGTCGGCATTTGCATAGTGTGTGTGTATTCAATTAGTGCGTTTCACACCATGACATGTGGTAACACACCAGACTCCTTGTACTTTTATCCTACTTTGCAAGGGAGCGCTACTACACACAGAAATCATCGAACTCCACCCCCAAATCGGACTGGACTGCTTTTTCCGCCAATCGGACTGGACTCCTTTTTTCCATCAACCTGCAATTTTGCACATAGAGCAGGAGGGGGCCTTAAGCTTGCACGCAAAGAAGCCAAAATTAACCATACATTAGGCCACACCAATTTAATTTCTTGGTTAACGGATTCTCCCGCTTCATTTTTTTCTGATTTGCAAATAAAAATAAAAATTCAGAATCAACTGCAAATTGCTCATATTTTGCCCTGAACAGTTGAAAACAGTCCTTTTCATCCTAATTGTTACAGTTTTTCCATCTTTCAATGCAATGGTATCATTAAAAGTTCAAAATTCATTGTTAAAATTTTGAACCAGCCTGGTGTGTTGACTTCATGGCTCCTATCGTACCATTTTGGGCCATAAGGCCATGTTGATTTGATTATATGGATGACATCCTCCGGGACCCCCCAAACTGATGCGAGCGTGCGAATAAAAAAAAAGTTTTGACAAAAAAAAAGAAGTTGTTTTCATTATGAAATGTACGTGGTCTTGAAGGTTGAACAAATGGCACAGAATATGGTTTGGCGAATAATCTACTCTTCGAATTCATTTCTTTACTAATTTCGTGTTTTTTCGTTTGATTTTGGCATTCTACGACATTGGTATAGTTTTTTCGTACCTTACGGTATATTTTTGCTCATTTTGCAACTGTTTTGTACGATTTACAGTATGGTTGAAAACTTTTTTTTTTTTGAAACGGCCAAAAATTCATGCGCGCGCGGATGTCATCCATATAATCAGATCAACATGGCCTAATAGGATGCCTAGGCCTGTTTTAATTTTTT